TACCCCGACCCCTCCCTTGCTCCAGAGACCAACCCTAGCTCCTGCCCCACTGTGCTTTTACCCCCAGCCCCTTTTACAATCATTCCCCAGGGGGGCCCACAAATATGTTTGGCACCGGGCCCACAAAAAGTTAATCCAGCCCTGATAAGAGATAACAGACAGAACCAAGTAAGTTACTCAGCAAAATAAAACAAACACGCAAGGCTAAGCTTAATACACTAAGAAACTGGTTACAAACGATAACATCTAGGGTGAGGAATTGTGTCAGGTAAAGTCTTTCTCAGGTCAGTTGCCTTTTCTGATCTGGGTCCAGCCTGTTCTCTCCCACCCCTGTAGTGACAGTCCTTTTGTTTCCAGGTGCTTTCGGGTATCTCTTTGGGGTGGGGAGGCCGTCTCTAAAACCAGCTGAAGACCCTCATTGTTTGCTTCCCCTGCCTTATATAGAATTTCCCTTTGATTCCCCACCCCCACCAGCTTCAAGATGGATTCCTATATCAGGTGACATGGTCACATGTCTCTGTAAGACCCCAGTCTCCATTCTTTATGGGCTGACCCACAGGTACACAGGAAGGCTTGCGGGTGAACAAAACCATTCACAGCCAATTGTTCTGGTAAATGGGAGCCATCAAATTCCTAAAGCACCATTAATGGCCCTCAAATTTATCCTTCACATTCCTAACTTCTAATACAGGAATGATACATACATACAGGGGCGGCTCTATGCTTTTTGCCACCCCAAGCACGGCAGTCAGGTGGCTTTCAGCAGCACATCATGCGGATTCAGCAGCTTGCCTGCGGGAAGTCCGCCGGTGTGGCACCTTCGGCGTCCCCACTGCCGAATTGCCGCCAAAGCCACAGAACCGGCGGACCTCCCGCAGGCATGCCGCAATAGGCAGCCTGACTGCCCCCCTCACAGCGACCAGCAGGCTGCCCCAGGCACGCGCTTGCTGCGCTGATGCCTGGAGCCGCCCCTGCGGCTGGCAGAGTGGCTCGCGGTGAAGGCTGCAGCAGAACGGTATGGAGAGAAGTCCTCCCACTGCACAGCTCCAACCCCCTCATTTACTCTCCCGCACTGCTCTGACCTCCCCTTTTGCCTAGGAGCAGCAGCATAGAGGGGAAGACGGGAGAGACGGGAGTGCTTTCCACACTGATAGGGGTGGCCTGGGAAGGAAACGGGGTTCTGGGTTCCTTCCCCAACTGGGGAGTAGGGGAGGGAACGGGAACCCCTGAGTCCCCTCCCACAGCCCTGGGGTGGAATGGTTCAGGGATAGGGGATATTTGTATGGGAGGCCACAGATCATAGGCGCTGACTCCATGGGTGCTCTGGGGCTGAAGCATCCATGGGGAAAAGTTAGTGGGTGCTCTACACCCACCGGCAGCCAAGCTTCCCGCCCTGCCCCACCTCACGTCCGCCTCCTCCTCTGAGCGCACTGCGTCCCTGCTTCTCCACCTACCTCCCAGCACTCACCGCCGCAAAACAGCTGTTTTGTGGTGTAACAAACTCCAGGAGGGAGGGGGAGGAGCGGGAACGCGGCGCGCTCGGGGAGGGGGCGGGGCCGGGGCGGGGATTTGGGGAAGGAGTTGGAATAGGGGCAGGAAGGGGGCGGAGTTGGGGCAGGGACTTTGGGGAAGGGGGTGGAATGGGGGCGGGGCAGGGGCGGGAGGGGTGGGGCAGGGTGGGGCTAGGGACAGACGGGGATTGAGCACTCCCCAGCACCAGCAGAAGTCAGCACCTTGGCTCCAATTTCTGGGCCCCCCCATCAGTCCCCCTGTCACCAGAGAGGAAAGTGTCCAAATTTCCCCCCACCTAAGGTTCTACGCTATCAGAGCTTCTGAGCTCCCAGAGGGCAAAGAGCCTTTTCACAAGGGTCCCTTAATCATCAAGACAGTTTGTAGAAAAGTGATCATTTTAGAAACCCAAAGGTCTACTCATTAAACTGAGTTTTCAAGAACACAATGTTTGGATCCATGGTCCCTTACGCTAACAGTCCTTGCTCTGCCTGACTGGCTCTGAATTTCCTCATCTCCTAATGGCTGCAGAGTGGGTCACGTGAGCAATGCCATTGCCGCCACTGCCCTCTCGTCCCCGGTTCTTTTTGCTCCTGGGCAGGAGCAGAGAGCAGTTGTCGTTATCCTGAGGAACCAAAGGGAGGCAGTCAAGGAAGAGGGCAAAGGCAACCAGCACTGACCCTCTCGCTAGAGCCGGGCAGGTTTCTGCAACAAACTTTTAAAGAGGAAAATGCAGATTCGGGTCGACTGAAACATTTCACGAATTTGGGTCAAATTCTCCAAATTGTTTCAACTTAAAACCTCCCCAAAGAAACAACGTTTTGTTTGGAAAATGTCCAAACAACATTCTGATTTTTGATTCAAAATGAAATTTTGTTGAGAAACTTTTCCCAATTCTAAAAAACATGAATGATCTTTATGAAAGCCTGAAATCAAAAAATGAAATGTTTTGTTCTACCCAAAACGATGTTTTTTTTTACTTTTCAGTGAGCAAAAAATTTCAAAAAATATGTTTGTTTTAGGTCAATCTGAAAGGACTTTTATCCCAAGCTTTCAGAAGCACTAGTGAATCAGAAAATCAGTTACTCACACAGCTCTACATCTAATTTTTCCCTCTAAAGCACTGCAGCTCCAGTTTCTCTAGATCGGGGTGGGCAAACTTTTTGGCCTGAGGGTCACATCTGGGTATGGAAATTGTATGGCGGGCCATGAATGCTCACAAAATTGGGAGTTGGGGTGCAGGGGGGTGAGGGCTCTCTGGGGGTGCGGGCTCTGGGGTGGGGCTGGGGATGAGGGGTTGGGGGTGCAGGAGGGTGCTCTGGGCTGGGACCGAGGAGTTCGGAGGGCAGGAAGGGGGTCAGGGCTGGGGCAGGGAGTTAGGGCATGGGAGGGGGTCGGGGGTGCAGACTCCAGGTGGTGCTTACCTCAAGCAGCTCCCAGAAGCAGCGGCATGTCCCCCCTCCGAGTCCTACACAGAGGCGTGTCCAGGCAGCTCTGCGTGCTGCCCCGTCCGCAGGTGCCACCCCTACAGCTACCATTGGCTGTGGTTTCCGGCCAATGGGATCTGTGGGGGCGACGCTTGGGGTGGGGCAGTGTGCGAAGCTCCCTGGCTGCCCCTATGTGTAGGAGCCGGAGGGGTGACATGCCGCTGCTTCTGGGGGCCACATGGAGTGGGGCAATCCCCCAACCCCGCTCCCCAGCAGAAGCTCAAGGGCTGGATTAAAACGCCTGGAGGGACGGATGCGGCCCCCAGGCCATAGTTTGCCCACCCCTGCTCTAGATGAACCATGTGTTTAAAATCATGTTAGCTGGTCATTCACTAGCCACAACCAGCTAATATATTTTAAATACTGCCGTTACTGTGTATACAACATACTCAGGCTGGAATTTCTAAAGAATCCAAGTGACTTAAATCTCATTGATTTTCAATGAAACTTGTGCTCCAAAGTAACTTAGAGTGAGATTTGCAAAAACACAAGTCATATGTATCAGCGTTCGTTTAAATATGTTAATATATTTTCTAACATAATTCATTTCCCTGTGTAGACAAACTGCTTGTGTTCTCCTGTTCACTCTACTAAAATTGCCCACTGGATGCACCTGGGAGAAGAATTTGTCTGTTACAACTTTCTGGAAAGCTCTGGTTTGCTGTGCGAGGTGTATTTTGAAATAGAAACAAAGGTTAGTTTCCATATGGATTTTGCCAAAAGAAATTTAAAATGAACAGAGACCTAAAAGCCTGTTCAGTTCTTTCTTTGTCTGATGCCCAGTGTAAGATATAAAGGCGTAACATGATGAAGAATGTAGGACTGATATGAAATATAGGAGTGATGCTAAGGTTCCATCATGTTCACAATGCTGACAAAGGTATATGGTGACGTGCTCAGAGTAATAAGAGTAATAAAAATAACATTTTAAAAAGTAAACAATTAGAAGCAGCAGATAAGACAAATCTGTGAACTGTTATGAGACTTTACACAGACATATAAACGGTAAGGGATTCTTTTAACTACTTAACCTGTGCGACACAGGGTTTTGGGGGGGGGGGTCAGGGGTAAAAACTATTTCTGAATCAAGTCTCCTGTAGCGTCTCAGTACGTTATATAAGGCTACGTCTACACTACAGGGGGGGATCGATTTCAGATACACAAATTCAGCTAGCATAGCTGAATTCGACATAGCTGATCCGACTTACCCTGCTGTGAGGACGGCGGCAAATCGACCGCTGCGGCTCCCCTGTCGACGGCGCTTTCTCCTACCTGGGCTGGTGGAGTACGCGCATTGATTCGGGGATCGATTATCGCGTCCCGACGAGACGCGATAAATCGATCCCCGAGAGATCAATTTCTACCCGCCGATCCGGGCGGGTAGTGAAGACAAGCCCTCAGATAGAGAGGAGCTGCCGTGTCTAGGCATTGGGACGCCCTGTGCCCTTAAGGACACAGCCCTGGGAAGCGGGTCCTGTGACGTATTGTCCTTTGAGAGGGGAATAAAAAAGTTCCTCTGCCCCACCCACTATGTTTGCAAACATAGCAGGTGTTTCATCCCATCAGGGTAACTGTTCCCCCCCTGCCCTCCCCTGTGCCGGGGTTTTGCCCTTTGCCACCGTCTGGGAGCCCCTCACCCCTGGGCTTAACCTGGCTCTTCCCCCTCTCCCAATTTTGCCCCTCTCCTGCCCCTGCCTCCAGCTGTTTGACCCACACACACAGTCAGTTTCCACCCCCGGCTCAGACTCTGCCCAACCCACCCCTGATTTGCCCCCTTTTAGCCCCTGTGAACAGCAGGCAGCAGATTTTAATCCAAGTGAGGGCAGCAGCTTCAGCAGATGTTACTGGGCCCGCAGCTCTCTGCTATTTCCCCCCCATTGGAGCAGATCAGGAACTAACGAACTGCACTAAAGGCTACAGGAAGGGCGGGGGCCAGCTCCAAGTCTCGACAAACATTAGAGAGAAAAGTGAAAGTAAAGTTTGTTCGTCTTTTTCGCAGCAGCCATGTCAGCTCCGAACTGGGGGGAAGAGCTCCAGGATGAGCTGGTTTGTCCCATCTGCCTGGAGTCCTTTAAAGACCCAGTGATTCTAGACTGTGGGCACAATTACTGCCAAGTCTGTATCACCGACAGCTGGGGGGTGTCGGGCACAGGAGTGTGCCCCCAATGCAGGAAACCTCTCCCCGAGGCGGAGCTGAGGCCTAACAAGCAGGTGGAGGCGGTGGTGGGCATAGCGAGACGCCTAGAAGGAGAATGCAAGAAACATCAAGACGATTTGAAGCTCTACTGCAAAGAGGACCGGACCCTCCTCTGCAGGGTTTGCAGAGAGTCTCGAGAACACAGAGCTCACACAGTCCTTCCCATCGAGGCGGCTGCAGAGGAGTGTAAGGTAGGTTATTTGGGTAGAAATCAGAGACGGGGATAGATCGATTTGGACACAACTCCCGTTCTTTGCACATTAGTCATTTACATTGAAGAAAAGTGGGTACAAAATGCTACTGGATCAGAATAGTAGCGTTTGATCTCCATTTTTCACAGGCGTATGTGACTACGCAAAGTAGGGGTGGGGGGAGGAAATCAGGCTTATTTTATCTGCCTCTTCCTACAGGGTTCTCCCTTCTCTGGGTTGGGTGATCAGAAATCCCAAAACTCCTGTCCCAGCTGCTGCTGTTGAAGGTGGAGAGGTGGGGAGGACCAGGCGAGGTGTTTTGTTTGATAAAGATTTCCAGTGTTGGGGACTTGTAGAAGGCCTAGGGATAGACAGTCTTTACCCTTCTAGGTCCCTTTTAATTCTTTCTACAGGCCTGTTCTCTGTATGCTTTAATTATATATATATTTATTTTATTGCCTTCCCATTCGCTGCCCGGCCGGTGCCACTTCCCCAGTGGCCGGGAGGGGACTCCGGGCCCACCCTCCACTCCGGGTTCCAGCTCAGGGCCCCTTTAATCAGCAACCAAGGGCTGTTCCATTCTGGACCTTCCTGTCTTTCTGAACCTTCTGGCTCCCCCAAAACTTTCTTCTGCCAGCGAGTAACCGGAGGCTGCTTTGGCTCTGTAGCCCCCAAACACCCCTCCCTTCTCCCAGGGAGTGACTGCAGACTCCTTCCTTGCAGCCCCCTGTCTGCTATAAACCCAGCCCTGCCCTTTCCTGCCCAGTGGGGATCCCTCCTTATTCAGTCAGCTGAGCCCGTCTGGTTAATTGGCACCCTTCAGGGCAAGTCTGGGTTGAACACCCCATCACAGGAAACCCCCCACCTAATATTTCTATTCCCCCTCCCCCCAAAAAAAAGTCCACCCCCCAAAAAAACCCTCCCTCCATGTCCAGGCTTTCTTTATCCATCATAAAGAAGCAGTGTGGGGCACACGCCCAATTAAAACACAAACCCTTGACAAGCCACATTTCAGGCCGATGGGTGTTTTTAAGGTCACTTTTAAAGCTGAAGTAATTTCTTTGGGATTGTTGCAGGAGCAACTTCTGAGTCATCGAGATCGTGTTCAGCGTGTGAGAGAGGAGCGAGGGAGACGGGCAGCTGCTGAAGAAGGGAAATGTCAAACTCTACTGGTAAGCGTCCACTCTTCATCCTGATCATTAATAGTCACCAGTGTTAATAATATTCCCTGTCCTAGGATGTACCTCTAGGGTGCCCCCTTGGGGTGAGGGGGCGCATCTCTCTCCTCCCAGATGTCCTTTCCTGGCCGTAGAGTCAGTGTGGGGTGCGTACTTTGGCTGTATGTCTTAGGAAGGCAGCTCCCCACCTTCTGTTTTTGTCCAAAATTAAAAATGCAAACAAAATAATCCTGCAGCCCACAAACCTGTCCAGGCTCCCCCACCTGTTCCTCACAGGGCGAAAGGTAAGTGGTCTCTGAGGTGGGGCTGGGCTCCTAACCCCATGGGTGTGTCTGAGGGGCCCAGGCTGAGTGCCCACGGGCCTAATTAAAAGAACAAAGTAAAGATGGTTCCTCTACCTCTCCAGAGGGTCCAGATGCTCTTCAGTAGCTTTCTGGGCAAGCAGCCCCTGCTCTCTGGGGCTAAGGAGTTCTAGCTCTGCTTCCCTCTGGGTGCCACCTCAGACTGCGATCCTCCCTTTTAAGGAGCAGCCCGTTGGGGGTTTGACAGGCCTCAGAGGTGCGTGGGGTTGGGGCTGACTGTGCCCAGAGGAGCTCTTTAAATCCTTCCTGAATGGGGTGGGAACTTGTTCCACCACAGCCCCCCTACTGTTAGCTCTCCCGTCCCGGTGGCTTCCCAGCTTGGCTCTCTCCTGTGCTTTCACTGCCCCTCTCATGTTGGTTTCAGCTGCATATTTGATCACAAGTGAGTTTACATCAGGGAACCTCCAGACAAAAGCATGGAGCACACATTCATAGGGACATAGGGACCTCCTGGGTGACTGAGTCCAGTTCCTGCCACCATCACATTCATAAACTTATCAAGCTCCATCTTAAAACTAAGTGTTGTCCCCACTTGCTCCTATTAAAAAGCTGTTCCAGAACCTACCTCCTCTGGTGGCTAGAAACCTAATTTCCAGCTTCAGTTTACTCATGGACAGTTTATCTCCATTTGTTCTGCACTCAGACTGCAGTGAGGTGCTTGGGCTTGGTTCTCATGCCATCGTGGCCATGTGACAGAGCCTTAAAAGGCGCAGAAAGTCCCCCTGACTCAGAGTACTCCCCGTGCAGTGAGCCACACCAGTCACGTTCCCAGCCCCTGGAGTAGGCTGTGGATTAAGTGCATTGCACCCAGAGACTGCTCCTGTGTGCTGATAGTGGAGGGGCACAATGTAAAGGGGGAGCATGTGACCGACCCACATGTTGCCTCTGGGAGGAACTTTCCAACCCCACCTCCCTGGACCAGGGCAGCCAATCTCACCGGCTCCTGGGGGGCTGGGGCAAAGGCGCGGGGCCATGTGCTTCTGGGCTGGCCCTGGCTGACTCACAGCACCAGTGTCTCCCCTGAGCTCCCGTGCCCTTGCAGACACCTCAGCAGGGCGAGAGGTGCAGGCAACGCCCCTACCTCTGGCTGAGCAGAGGGACCCTGCTCCTGCTGCACCTTCCCTTGGTACATTTCCGGCTCGGTCCCCGGCAGTCAGGCCCAGGTGGGGACCAGAGGGAGAAGGATGGAGCTACTTCTCCCACCGTGTGAGGGTGGTCACTCCGGGTCGCTGCCTCTGTGCAATGCAGTGTCTGTCTGCAAAAGAACCTGGCTGGGGAGGCAGCGGTGGCCCACTCCCCACCTGGCTGCTGGGGACAGGGGCCGCGTGAGCCGGAGCCCCCCCAGCCACTGCATGTTTCTGGCTCTGCACATTTCTGGCTAGCTCAGCTGCCCTCACCCGGCATGAGGAATGGCTTCATCCTGCCCCCCCAGCTCCCTGCCTGGCACCTACCTCCCTGAACAGCCACATATTAAAATCAAAAGTAAATGCTTCAAACCGACGCTGTCAAAACGCAGTTTTTCAGAATGTTTGTTTCATAGGAAATTTTGAAATTTCAGGTTTTCGTTCCCATTCAGAATGAATTTTTTTTAAATGTCAGAATTTCCCATGGAATGGAAATTACAGTTCCCAGCTAGCTCTACGAAATATGGATTTAGGAGCCTAATTTTAGGTTCTTACTTTGAAAATCTTGGGACTGGGGATTTGGGGCCAGAGTACAGGTAAAAGTTTTCAAAAGTACCTTCAGTGGAAGATGGGGGTCTAATTCATAAGTGCGTTTCGAATTCCCTCTCCTTTGGATCTAGGCTCCCTAGGAGAATCGCACAGGTAGGCACCTTATGCTGAAAATTGTGTTTAGACACCTCCAAGTGAGACTGGTTCCAGTATGATGTGTAAGGGCCAGAGGGCTATGCAGATGTACCCCCGCTGAGGATCTGCCCCCCAGAGTTCTGCCCTGTGTTAACGGGGCTCCATCGCTCACAGCTGAAATGCAGTTGCTACTGGGGAGGGGGACCTGGGAATCCTGCTTCACTTTATGTCACTGCCCTGTTTATATCTGTTCATGACAGAAACAGCTAGAACGCCAGGAGCAGGAGAGTTTGTCTGAATTCAAGCAAGTGCACCAGGTTTTGAAGCAGGGAGAGCAACTCATGCGTAACCGCCTGGAAGGCGCGATACAGGACCTTGGGAAGACGAGGAATAAAAATACTAAGGGGCTATTACTTCTCGATAATTGCATAGCTGAGATAAATCAGAAGTGCCAGCAGCCGGGGATTGAACTGCTCAAGGTAAGACCAGTCAAAAAAATTTCCAACTGTCCATGGGATTTAGGCTCCTAAGTACTTAAATCACTTTTGAAAATGAGAAAATGCACTATCCTTATTTTACATATGGGGAAACTGAGGCACGGGGAGGGGAAGTGACTTGCCCAAGGTCACCCAGCAGGGCACTGGCAGAGCTGGGAAGAGAACAGAGCTACGTATGAAGTTTCCAAACATGCCCAACTTCCTATAGGAATCAAAAATAAAGGCAGAGTGAGTCTTCTGCCTAAGAGAGATTTCAGGTTTGTGGCCGATGAGCTGAGTTTCTTTTTGTTTCCTTTTCCCTTTCTAGGACATTGACAGCACCTTAAGCAGGTATGTGTCTCCTTAGTCAGCCTCATGCTTCATCACATTGGGGAAAGGGTGCAAAGCCCAGCTGGGAATGTATAATGCCCCTCCCACCTCATCCTCCTCATGGCTAAGAGGATGGAACAGGGAAAGCATCCCCAGAACGTAAGAATTACCAGAGCAGATCAGACCACAGGCCCATCTAGCCCGGTATCCTGTCTCTGATAGTGGCCAGTGCCAGCTACTTCACAGAGAGATGCAAGTCTCCCCCTAGTGGCCAGTTATGGGATAACCTGCCCTAGAGGGCATTCCCTCCCTAACCCCCATTCCTAGAAATTGGTTTTTCCTCCAAAGTAGGAATCCTAGGAATGAAGATGCTGCTTATTGTGGGCTTGAATACTAGTCTTATGATATGGGACCACAGGGGTGAACAGTCTGCTCAATAACAATCATCATCTTGAGCATCTAGTGGCCCTGAACTGAGGACAGGAGGCCCAGGCAGGGGCTGAGCAAGGGGGCCCCAGGTGAGGAATCCTCGTGTTCCATGTTCCTTTTAATTCCCAACTTTACATTGTTACATGTTCTAAATAACATACCGGGCCAGCGTGCTCAGAACTTGTGCTCGCCCCCGTGTCCTGTCTTCCCGCTGAGTGAGTTCAGCAATTACGATCGAGCATTCCAACAGGAACCTCGTTCTTTCTGCGTTAGGTGTGAGCAGGTGAAAGATGAAGAGGAGGCACCTGTTGATTCTTTGACTGAACTGGAGAGTAGCGTGTGGGCTCTCTCTGAAAGCCAGAAAGTTCTGCGTGGTCTGCTGAAGAATTTCAGAGGTAAAGTTGTAACGGTAATGTTACTGCTACTACTACTAATAATTAATAAAAGGTAAGTATTCCCGGTGACTCTTTGAATTTTAAAATATTTGCTAGTGTGGTTCCCAGTAGTGATCACTGAGAGTTTGATTCCCAGTCATGCTCAAGCCTTGGTATAAAGCTTAAAGCGGCCTTCAATGGAGTTGAAATAGCCCTCTGAGAATCCCCAGCCAATGTGGAGCTGGCATGAGGCTTTAGCCAGCCCTGCTCCCAGCCTCCAGAGCAGGGGGCAGATCAGGGATGTGGCCAAAATGTACTCTGGCTAGTCTCTGCTCCCCAGAGGCCATGGGGAGCAGACCATAGCCTAGAGCAGTGGTTCTCAACTAGGCGTATGCAGAGGTCTTCCAGGGGGTACATCAACTCATCTAGATCTTTGCCTAGTTTTATAACAGGCTGCATAAAGAGTGCTAGTAAAGTCAGTACAAACTAACATTTCATACAGCCCTGGGGCTGCTCTAATTACACCTATGGGTGTATTTTGGAATTATTATTATTAATATAGGGTATCACCTATGCACCAATTTAACCATAAATCCCTTTATTAAATCTAAAGACCCAGTGGTATTTATGCAGCTGCTTCAAATGTGCCTTAAATGCCGAAGGAGTAACCACACCCCTATAGTATCTTGCAGTTATAAGTATGGATCAGGTACTTCCACAGGACTAGATCTGATGTCCTTAAACCCATATTAGCCAGCTCCAACAGTGGGGCACAGGTACTAGCAGTGAATCCTCTAAGAGCTTTTATACCTTTTTTACTGGTGACTCTTTAATAATTCTTTTCTTTGTTTAAACTAGTTAGAACCACTCCTGATAACTGGGGCCTCTTCTCCAAAGACTTTTCCTCCTATATCTTCCAGGTCCAATTTTTCCAACTAAGCCACATTTTTTCAAGGCCTCCCCACCACTGCTAACAGGCCCTGCACTTTACACAAACGGCAAAACATGTATTTGCCTTAGCCAAGCTATTTTAACCCTTTATATACCAATCTAATCCTCCAGTGGGCAGCCCCTGCATAAACCCAAATACGGGGAGTGCAAAGACAGCTTAATGCTCAGCCCCCTGTTCGCCCCCAAACACAGGAACAGCGTAACTGGCCCTCGGGAGCCGATAGTAACAATATTATACCACAGCAATGAACTGAGCTGGAACTCTTCCTTATTGATTATTTAACATTTAGATTCTGGTAGCGCCTGGAGGCCAAGCAGGTCAGGGACCCTTTGTGTCAATGACAGGCCCTGCTCCAAAAAGCTCACTGTTAAATGGTGCACAAACGATGGTTCTGAGTCTCAGTCTGTCTTATTCCCAGTGGAATTGGCTCCAGAATTGGGTCCTCTTGAAAACATCTCGTCTGAGGTTCAGAGACAAGTGAGTGGTGAAGACCCAACGGAGGATGTGCCTGACAACCCTGAACAAGAGGACACTTCTGTTTGCCTGCTGGACTATGAGGTATTGTACTCTGTGGCCGCTCAGGGAGGTAGGTGCCAGGAATGGGCGTTAGTGGTCGTCAGAGTGGATTGAAGTCAGTGGCGCTACAATGGTCTACACCAGCTGAGCATCTGCCCTTTGAGTCCACTAGGGATGTCACCAGTGTAAATTGATTTTATGTGGGAGGTGATAAGATACTACATGTGGCCCTTAGAAACGTTTGAAGTAGGGCCGAGTGAAAGTCCGTATTTCTGTTTGATTGTTCCATATTTGTTTTCCTCTTGAATTGAGACAAAAAGTCAAAATATTGAAATTTTTTCACCAAATGGAAAGTTCTGAAAAATTTTGATTTGGAAATTGCCAAACATTTCATTTTGAGTCAGTTTTGACATTAAACTGCATCTGCCTTTGATGACTGCAGTGCCTCATGGGAACTGTAGTTTGGGTGTTTCATGCCCCCATTCTCCCTTATGGGCCTGGTCTCCTTTTTGGACTACATCTCATGATGCACCATGTGGCTCAGTCAGAGGGGGGAATGCAGTGCCTCATGGGAGATGTAGTCCAACCAAGGTGCCTGGCCCATAGGGGAGAACATGGGCATGAGGCACCTGAACTACAGCTCCCATAAGGAATCAAAGCATGGTAGGCAGATGCAGTTTAATGTTAAACTGACTCGAAACAAAATGGTTTGATTCAATTCATCAAACTGAAGTGTTTCAAGTTGTGTCAAACCAACCCAAAACAAAATATTTCCCAATAGAAAATCAAAACTTTTCACCAAAATTGAAATATAATCTAGATAGAAAATTCCCAAGCAAAGATACCAAACCATGTATAATTTCCTGTAACAATCGACCTGTGAATAATGATGCAGATCACAAGGGATCTCCATAGAGTGACTTGTTTTCTTTCCCTTCTAGGATGGCGAACTCAACTCAGATAGGTAAGTGCCTTCTCCTCTCCGTCACACTCATACTTCACTACAGGGCGGATCCAATGCTCATTGAAATCAACATGAGTCCTTCCATTGACACCAGTGAGCTGTGGGTGAGGCCTATGTTGGAAAGAGGGGTTAGGAATTGATTAAAGATGGGACTGCTAAGAGTGGCTAAGAGGATCAATCCATAGGGTCTTCCAACCTCTAATTCCTATATAAATCATAGCTCATCCATCCTTCCTGTACCAATCCTGAACAATTCAGGTTCATTCCCTACAGTCTGTTCTCAAGCACATTGTCCATTGGACTTCTGTAATGGGGCTCCAATCCCTTCTCCTGGAGAGATGAGTCCTCACCAATGTGCCAGGAATTCCCATCTCACCACACACGCTTTCCTGTTACTTTTATACTCCCTCCTACTCTTAAACAATACTTTTATACCATAGAATCATAGAACTGGAAGGGACTTTGAGAGGTCATCTAGTCCAGTCCCTTGCACTCAAGACAAGACTAAGTATTATCTAGACCATCCCTGACAGATATTTGTCCAACCTGCTTTTAAAAATCCCCAATGATGGAGTTTCCATAACCTGCCTAGGCAATTTATTCCAGTGCCTAACCACCCTGACAGTTAGGAAGTTTTTCCTAATGTCCAACCTAAACCTCCCTTGCTGCAATTTAAGCCCATTGCTTCTTGTCCTATCCTCAGAGGTTAAGAAAAACCATTTTCTTCCTCCTTGTAACAACCTTTTATATACTTGAAAACTTTTATCATGTCCCCTCTCAGTCTTCTCTTCTCCAGACTAAACAAACCCAGTTCCTTCAATCTTCCCTCATAGGTCATGTTTTCTAGACCTTTAATCATTTTTGTTGCTCTTCTCTGGACTTTCTCCAATTTGTCCACATCTTTCCTGAAATGTGGCGCCCAGAACTGGACACAATACTCCAGTTGAGGCCTAATCAGCATGGAGTAGAGCGGAAGAATTACTTCTCGTGTCTTGCTTACAACACACCTGTTAATGCATCCCAGAATCATGTTCGCTTTTTTTGCAACAGCGTTACACTGTTGACTCCTATTTAGCTTGTGATCCGCTATGACCCCCAGATCCCTGTCCGCAGTACTCCTTCCTAGGCAGTCATTTCCCATTTTGTATGTGTGCAATTCATTGTTCCATCCTAAGTGGAGAACTTTGCACTTGTCCTTATTGAATTTCATCCTATTTTCCTCAGACCATTTCTCCAGTTTGTCCAGATCATTTTGAATTTTAACTCTATCCTCCAAAAGACTTGCAACCCCTCCCAGCTTGGTATCATCCACAAACTTAATAAGTGTACTCTCTATGCCATTATCTAAATCATTGATGAAGATATTGGACAGAACCAGACCCAGAACCGATCCCTGTGGGACCCTACTCGTTATGCCCTTTCAGCATGACTGTGAACCACTGATAACTACTCTCTGGGAATGATTTTCCAACCAGTTTTGCACACACCTTATAGTAGCTCCATCTAGGTTGTATTTCCCTAGTTTGTTAATGAGAAGTTTATGCAAGACAGTATCAAAAGCCTTACTAAAGTCAAGATATACCACATCTACCACTTCCCCCCATCTACAAGGCTTGTTACGCTGTCAAAGAAAGCTATCAGGTTGGTTTGACACGATTTATTCTTGACAAACCCATGCTGACTGTTACTTATCACCTCATTATCTTCTAGGTGTTTGCAAATTGATTGCTTAATTATTTGCTCCATTATCTTTCTGGGTACAGAACTTAAGCTGACTGGTCTGTAATTCCCCAGATTGTCCTTATTTCCCTTTTTATAGATGGGCACTAGATTTGCCCTTTTCCAGTCTTCTGGAATCTCTCCCGTCTTCCATGACTCTTCAAAGATAATCGCTAATGGCTCAGATATTTCCTCAGTCAGCTCCTTGAGTATTCTAGGATGCATTTCATCCGGCCCTGGTGATTTGAAGACATCTAACTTGTCTTTAAGTAATTTTTGACTTGTTCTTTCACTATTTTAGACTCTGATCCTATCTCATTTTCACTGGCAGTCTCTATGTTAGACGTCCAATCGCCACCAACCTTCTTGGTGAAAACTGAAACAAAGAAGTCATTAAGCACCTCTGCCATTTCCACATTTTCAGTTATTGTCTTCCCTGCCCCCACTGAGTAACGGGCCTACTCTGTCCTTTGTCTTCCTCTTGCTTTTAATGTATTTGTAGAATGTTTTCTTATTTCCTTTTATGTACCTAGCTGGTTTGATCTCATTTTGTGCCTTGGCCTTTCTAATTTTGTCCCTACATACTTGTGTTATCTGTTTATATTCATCCTTTGAAATTTGACCGAGTTTCGACTTTTTGTAGGACTCTTGAGTTTTAGATCATTGAAGATCTCCTGGTTAAGCCAGGCTGGTCTCTTGCCAGACTTCCCATCTTTTCTACGCAGTGGGATAGTTTGCTCTTGTGCCCTTAGTAATGTCTCTTTGAAAAACTGCCAACTGTCTTCAATTGTTTTTCCCCTTAGACTTGCTTCCCAGGGGATTTTACCTACCAGCTCCCTGAGTTTGTTGAAGTCTGCCTTCTTGAAATCCATTGTCTTTATTGTGCTGTTCTCTCTCCTACCATTCCTTAGAATCATGAACTCTACCATTTCAGGATCACTTTCACCCAAGCTGCCTTCCACTTTGAAATTCTCAACCAGTTCCTCCCTATTTGTCAAAATCAAGTCTAGAACAGCCTCCCCCAAGTAGCTTTCTCCACCTTCTGAAATAAAAAATTGTCTCCAATACATTCCAAGAATTTGTTGGATAATCTGTGCCCCGCTGTGGTATTTTCACAACAGATGTCTGGGTAGTTGAAGTCCCCCATCACCACCAAGTCCTGTGATTTGGATGATTTTGTTAGTTTTTAAAAAAAAACCCTCATCCACCTCTTCTTCTTGGTTTGGTGGTCTGTAGAGGTATAGAATCACCATGATGTATAGAATCACAGTCTTTCTTAAATAGGAAAAATGTATTAAAGAGCCACAACTATAGACTCGAACAGGTTTCCATTCTGCTTGAGTTCCAGCTTTGTCTTCCTTGTTTGCCCATATACAACACAAAAGAGACATCTGAATAATAATATTCATTATTGATGATCCATGCCCATTATTGGAACTGTATTCTGTGGGGCTAACAGAAGTAAGATGCAATACAATTTTTTTCTAGCCATTCAAGTGAACGGCTCTGACTCTGGTACATCCTAGGAACAGACTTTTTTTGAGTGAGAATTTTACAGCATCACTTTTCAGAGTAGAGAAGTACCATTATTCTAGCTCAATAACCTATGTCTAGAGCTGGTTGAAATATGGAATTTCCAAACTGTGGGGAATACTGAGATTTCAAAATTTGTCTTTGTTCCAAATTGGAAAGAGAAGTTGAAATTTAAAAATTGACTGTGAAAGAAAATGTCTGAGATATTTCATTTTGGAAATATCAAAACAACCTTCTTGAAAAGAAACATTTCAGTAAGGACAGAATATTTTCTTTAGACTTTATCATGTATATAACATAACACAATGCGAATTCTTTTCTAACTGTAAGGCCAGCTATGCTCTGGAATAAGCTTCCAAGCGATGCTGTGGAGTGCCCATCAGTGGAGGTTTTTAAGAACAAGTTTGACAGGGATGGTCTAGGTTTATTTGGTCCTGCCTCAGCACAAGGGGATGGAGTACATGACTCTTGAGATTCCTTCCAGCCCTACATTTCTGTGATTCTGCAATATATTCTGAACCAAATGCAAATTTTCAATCATTCCCATAGAAAATTTTGACAAAATCAACACAGTTCTGTGAAACATTTTGATTTTGTTGAACCAGCATTTTCCGATTGTTCAGTTGGAAAACTTTTGACCAATTCTACTTATGTCCCTTCCCTGCACTGCTGAGTCTTGCTGGACACACAACTGGCCTTAACCTTTTGAAGTGAAGTTTTTCAGCATCCCACATACTTTGTGTTGACTACATGAAACAACGTAGATCTGGTTGAAAAATGACGTAAAAATTGTATGTGGCAGGAGATTTCTCTGGGATTTTTTTTTTTGTCAACTTTCCAAGCAAAGTTTTCATAAAGACTTTAAAATATTTTGACCAGCTCTAAATTTAATCAAAAATTAGGGGAAAACAACAAAAATTTCATCAATTCTCCCCCGACCACACACCCACCCACATACATACACACACACGCACAGGCACACACACTTTATTGTCAAAATTTGAATTCTCAACCAGCTGTCACACAATAACAAACAACAGAATGTATCTATATATATTTTTTTCTCTACAGCTGTCAGAAGCAAGAAGTTGTCCCTCCTGACAGACAGAATAATTTAACTGACTTCAGAAACGTTGAGCCAGAGGGAGACATAGGTAAAGGGTGATCTTTGGGGTATTTTGGTACTAAATTGTTATGCTGAAAGCTGCTAGTGGTTCCCATCAAGTGAGTCTTTGATCCAAAGACAATCACAGACCTCCTTAAAGACAGTGGATTTGCCAAGCACGGTCCTTCAGGCTCAACAAAAGGAGGAATCAGTCCCTTCCTGTAGCAAAGAGAGATGCAGATAATTGTAGGCACTGTCCATGGGATTGGGCACATAGCACTGCACAGTTGGACTGTGTGGGTTGAGGGCTTCCCTGGTTGCAAACGCAGGGGCTAGCAAGCATATCGGTTGCAGCCTGGGTGCACTGAAAACTTGGAGAAGTGAGAGTGACCCTGGGAGGAAGCAGAGAGACAGAGCTTTCTGGGCACAGAGCTCACTGGAGGGGCAGACATGGGGATTTCTGAGCAAGGAGAAGGCCTACAGTGTTCGGGGAGATGGGACTGTGTGAGCCTTCTTTGTAAATAGACAAGATTAATTATCTCTAGCTTTTATCTAGTGCTGTACAAAGGAGGTCACGATCATTATATGATTTTATAGATGGGGAAACTGAGCAACAAAGTTTTGAAGTGACTTGTCCAAGGTCACCTGGCAGGCCAGTATAGGGTGATCAGGTGTTCCGATTTTATTGGGAGTATCCCAATATTAGGGGCTTTTTTCCTATGGGTATGTCTACACTGCGAAGTTGTTGACAAAACTTTTGTCTTTCATGGGTACTTAAAAAAGCCCCTCCTCTCCCGCGAAAGACAAAAGTTTTGCCGACGCAAGTGGCAGTGTGAACGCGGCTTTGTCGACAGGAGCGCTCTCCTGCCGACAAAGCTAACGCTGCTCGCGGGGCTGGAAGTATTTTGTCGGCAAAAGTGCCGACAAAGAGCGTTTACACGCGCTGACTTTTAGCAACAGGGCTGTGTCAACACAGCCTTGTCGCTAAAAGCTACGTGGTGTAGACAAGCCCTATTACCCTTCCCGCCCCATCCCGATTTTACACTCTTGCTATCTAGTCACCCTAGGCCAGTAGCAGATCCAAGAATTGAATCTAGGTGCTAGTCGAGGGCGCGATCCAATAAGCCATGCCGATTGCTCCAAGAGTGCATCTGACTTGTATCATTGATTTCTCCTCCTAACGGAAACATCACTCCAAGCCCACGAATATTGGTATATCGCTCAGGCCAAAGGAGCCACCATATTTACTGATGTCGAATAAGACATTTCAGAGGTATAAGGACTAAGGAGAGAGCAATTACCAGCTTAGTTCAGTTTTTCCTTCCCCCTAGGCAGGGCCTATCAGCTCCCCCTCTTCACTAACAGCTGGGTCAGGAGCGGCTGATCTGTGCACAAATAGCTAAATATTTGCTTTACAAATATTTGTTTCAGCTGCTGAATATTCAATGTCTGAGCCTGTCCCAGACATTTCGTTCCTGAATGGCAGTGGTACTTTAAATCTGCTTGACAAGAAACAGGTGGTACATCGTAGTCCAGGTAAGCCCTTTTCTTCTGTATATTTCACAGTTTTAATGTTTTATTTTGTTTTATAATTACTCCCCCCACACACACTGGTCAGCAGTGGGTTTTGAACTTGGGATCTTCAGCACTAAGGCCCCTGTCCAGCAAAGCTCTCAGGCACATGCTTAACATTAGGCTTGGCAGAATTTGATTTTTATTTTTTTATGATTGTGACGGGTGATATCGATGTTTATTTTTAATCCATTTTAAAATTTTCGTGGTTGCGGGAAATTATGGGGCAGTCAGACACTTATTGAATGTAGATGTTGAGACCAGAGGCGACACGTAACTGTTGATAGTGTGTGTTGGGGACACAATTTAAAAGTTTCCCTCCTCGTTGCCCCCTCCCCCAGCTCTCCCTCTCGCTGCTTTGCCCCTCCCCAGCCCCGCTGCTTGTCCATATCCCCCCAGGGTGGCACGACCCACTCCCAGTGCTGTGCAGAGACCCAGCCGCTGGGGGGAGCGCTTAGCACACCTGCAGCCTGGCCGGGGGCTCCTTCCTCCCCCGCTGCCTCTGGCAGGGCCGGCACCATGGGAAAGCCCAAGACCCTCCCGCATGGGGCGCTGCCAAGGAGCCCAGCCCTGTGTGTGCCAAAGCTGCCTGGCGCCCCACACAGCATGGGGGAGCCTCTCTGCCCCTCAGATCAGCACTGCAGTGGAGGGGCAGGGAAGTGATTTCCAGCCCATTCCCACCCCGAACTCGCAGGCTCCGCAGCAGCCCCCAGGCAGGGGCTTAGCGCCCTCTTGGCCCCCTCCCCTGCTGCCCCAGGTCGTGCCTGGGGTTGCCACTTTTCGAAATGCTGGTACTGTAGAACCTCAGGGTTACGGGAATGGAGGTTGTTCGTAACTCTGAACAAAGCACAAGTTCAGGCTCCCGATCCAGCAGCTGACACTCCAGGCCAGGCTTCAGCAGCAGCTGAGGGGTGGGTGGGTGGGTGTGTGTGTGTGTGTGTGTGTGTGTGTGTGTGTAAAAGCAGCACAGACCCCAGCACTGCTCCTACTCTGCTAGCTCTGCGTCTTCACCTCTTAGCTGTAAGGGGGTGGAGTGGGGACAGGCAGCCCAGATGTACCTACATTTCAGATGCAAGATGGGCACAGTGCAGTCCTCCTATAGGCTCTGCAACCTTCCCGTCCCAGCTCCACCCCTGAAGATCTGGGAGGAGGGTCAGGCCTGCCAGTGGCACTCATGAAAATCCTGAGTGGGTTAAAGACTCCTGAGCCCACAGTGATGCTCTACAGAAGGTCGAAGTGGGTGGGGAATGGTCAGAACTCTGCCTCTGCGAGGGGAGACGAGAGATTGTCCCAATTTCTAAGCAGGGTGACTCCTAGAAATGGGTCAAGCTTCATGGTGGTGGTTTGTCCATCTCTTCTGCTTCAGGGCTAAAGGCAGCCTCTAGCTAATGGAGTCAGGAGGGAATTGTCCCTGGGGGCACGTTGCCTCATATCTCCTACCGCGGGTTCTTGCCCTTTCCTCTGAAGCAGCTGGTGTCGGCCGTGGTCAGAGACAGGACAGCAGACGAGATGGACCCAATGGTCTGATCCAGTCTGACAAGTCCTATGTTCCTATGCCCAGTAACCCACCTTTACCTGTAGAGCAGCGCAGTGATCGTATTAATGGCTTGTTCTTTTATAGGTCACTGGTTTGACTCCAAGGTGAGGAGACGTGGTGCATGGAAGATCGTAGCTGCTGCCGTAGCTGCAGTTCTACTTGCAGTTCTCTTTATCGCGGTGATTGTCGGGTCAGGTGAGTGTGTAACCCAGCTCTGTGCTTTCCATTCAGCGTTAGCCCAGCACTGAGCAGTTTTGAGAGTCCTGCCCTAAATAGGAAAACTGTTCAACACCCCTGCCCTGAAGGTAACACCCAGAGTTTGTGTCTGTGAATAAATTTGATAGATGGGCATTTTCGCTGTACAGTCCAGGGGATGCTATCACACGACCTGATTTCAAAGTGGGAGCTTGACTTTGCTTTTGGGATCATTTCTCTCTATAAATCTCACCCTGTTTTATTGCTGATGCTTTTAGTCCCTTGCAGCAGCCACGAGACGTTCTGGAGCCTGTGTCTTAAGGGTTTTGGCCCTCTGATTCCCGGCAGATCCAGAGGTGGGCTGGGAGAAAGATGCTTTTACCCCTTTTTACTTTTCAGTACCAAAGGCCAGAGTGACTCCTCCGGACAGCCCTGCCGCCTGCTGCCCTGAACACTGGATTGGGTACCATGGAAAATGTTACCTTTTTTCGGAGGATGAAGCAGACTGGACCTCGAGCCAACATTCCTGCTCTTCCCACGGTGCCTCCTTGGCTTGGCTTGACACCCTGAAAGAAAAGGTGATGGGAAAAAAAAATAGAAATGATTTTAGGTACAGATTAAAGTTGTCTCAGCCCAGGAGAAAAAGAATAAAACCCCTTTGAATGAGGCAGCTGCTAACTCCCAAAACATGGTGAAGCCATTTCTGAATGCAAAATAAAAATTATACTTATTTGCTCTGTAGCAGTGAGACTCAACTTGGATCAGGGCCTGGTTGTGCCGGGCGCTGCACAGACCCAGCGAGAGACAGTCCCTGTCCCAGCTGAGATCGGGGCCCCATTGTGCCGGGAGCCGCACAGACACACAGGGAGAGACAGTCCCTGCCCCAGCTGAGATCAGGGCCCCGTTGTGCC